TGCAGAGCCCCCCGGAACAGTGGCCAGGACCCAGGCAGTGTAAGTGCCACTGAAAATCAGCTCACATGTCGCCTTTGGCACGCGTGCCGTAGGTTGCCTACCCCTGAAATACACGACGATGTCTCCTGCAGACAGAGCTGTGGTCCCAACGTCTGAGATGACTTTGCCAGTCTCTTGCACCCAGCAGCACAGCCCCTGGGTCCCCGCAGGATCAAGCCCTTAATACTGTGCATAATATATTGTGACACATTTATTAAGCTTGACCTCAAAAATTAGATTTTACCCTGATTCTTTCTTTATATAGAAAAGCAGCCTTTAACTCAAGGTTTTTGATAGTAGCTCATGGATTCACCATATGTATATTTTTTATTTAAATGTTTTAAGGGATTACAATATCAAGACGCCAAAAAAGGATGTTACAGTAAGCGAGACACAAGGTGATGAGAGCCTGGATGAAAATTTTAGCTGTGGGGATGGAGAGGAAAGGCCAAATTTTAGGGATGTTATGCAGAAAGAATCTGCAAGATGTAGGCCTGGTCTACATTGGACAGTTAGGTTGATGTAAGGCAGCTCACGTTGACCCTAATAATGTCTGTGTCCACGCTGTGTCCATTTTGCTAACGTAACTCATCTGCTACGTCGACTTAATTACTCCACCTTTGCGAGAGGCATAGCTCTTAAATAAAAGTTATTAGGTTGACGAAGAGGCAGTGTAGATAGTGCGTTGCTTATGACTTTACTGGCTTCCAGGAGGTGTCCCATAATGCGCCGCTGTGACCGCTCTGGTGGACGTTTTCAACTCCGCTGCTCAGAAGCCAGGTACACAGGAAACAGACCCTCCCCTGTTAAAGCCCTGGGAACATTTGAATTCCCCTTTCCCGTTTGTTCAACGTGGAGCGCTCACCAGCATGGCTGATCATGGCAACTCAACATCTCAATCTGCAGCCATGATGACTGAGTGGTTAAGGTATTGGACTTGAAATCCCGTGGGGTTTCCCTGTGCAGGTTCAAATCCTGCTCACAGTAAAGGCTGGGTTTCAAACACACTCAACGTCCCAAACATGCTTCAGCCTGGAATACAGAGGAGGTGGTGGATCTTACTGGTCTGTGGGGAGAAGAGTCTGTACAGGCACAGCTCCAATCCAGCCGTAGT